TTGCCCCGCCCCGCGCACCCCTCAGCGCCCGTCTCTCCCGGCAGCAGAGCACCGGCTGCGGTTCCAGGTGCAGCTGGCGGACGTGGAGGTGGCCGAGCGGGAGGACGCCGTGCTGGAGTGCCAGGTGCCGCTGGAGACCATCCCCACCACCTGGTACCTGGAGGACAGGGAGCTGCAGCCCAGCCACAAGTACCTGATGGAGGAGCGAGGCGTGGTGCGGCGCCTGACCATCCGCGATGCCCGCACCGATGATGACGGCATCTACCTCTGCCAGATGAAGGACAAGGGGCGCAGCATCGCCGAGGTCTCCGTCCGAGGTGAGGGGCACGTCTCCAGCAGTACAGCTTTGCCTTCCTGTCCCCCAACTTGCCACGCTCCCCACCATCCCCACCATCTGCCTTCCCACTGTTTGGCTGGTTCCTGCTGCTGCCCCTCCTTGACCTCCTCCTCCTCCTCTCTCCCACTCTGGGGAGCCCAGCCCACTCCCCAGCATCCCTTCCCAGCCCTCACACATCTCTTCTCGTAGGGGTCATCGTGAAGCGGCTGCCACGGAAGCTGGATGTGATGGAGGGGGAGAACGCGGTTTTCTGCGTGGAGACGCGGGAGGCGTCGGAGGGGATCTGCTGGAGCCGGGACGGGCTGCAGCTGCAGGAGTCGCCCTGCACGGTGCTGAAGAGCTTCGGCAGGACACACCTCCTGGTGCTGGTGCACGTCACCCGTCAGGACGCCGGCATCATCTCCTTCACCGTCGGGGAGTCGCAGACATCCTCCCAGCTCCGGGTCAAGTGTAAGCCCCAGGCTCGGAGGGACCCTGTGTCCTCCGTCCTGCCCATTCACGGGGGACTGACACAGGAGAGGGATGGGGTGGGCACCCCCTGCGTCGGGGACATGATGCTGCGACAGCTTTTTGGGGGAGGGGGCTTTTAGCAGGTTTCCAGTGCCCTAGCCTCGCTGGCACTCACGAACCCCCATAACTAGCACCGTGCTACACGGGAGCATGACCGTCCTCCCCATCAGAGAGAGGGTCCCCAGGCTGCGTAGCCCCCTCAGCATTTCCACCACCCTGCCAGGAGCCTCGCTTTCCGTCCCCAAGCCGGCAACATGGGCTGTGACTTGCAGGCGTGAAGCGTGACCCCCCGAGTGCACCGGTGTCGGCCGAGATGAGCGCAGCAGAGAGCAGCACGGCCCTGCTGACGTGGTGCCCGGCACCCGACGCCCACCTCCGCCCCCCCCGAGTGCCCCGGTGTCGGCCGAGATGAGCGCAGCAGAGAGCAACGCGGCCCTGCTGACGTGGTGCCCGGCACCCGACGCCCACCTCCGCCCCCCC